ATTATTACTATTTCCTGCCATTGTTATTAAAATTTTGTTAGTTATTATTATTTTTATTATTTCCCGCCATTATTATTTAAATATTTTTAGTAATTATTATTATTATTATTATTATTATTATTATCATTATTACTATTTCCCGCCATTATTATTAAACAATTGTTTGTTATTATTATTACTATTCTTTTTATTATTATTATTATTATTATTATTATTATTATTATTATTTTTATTTCCCGTCATTATTATTAAAACATGTTTAGTTATTATTATTATTATTTTTATTTCCCGTCATTATTATTAAAACATGTTTAGTTATTATTATTATTCTTTTTATTATTATTATTATTATTTTATTTATTTTTTTTTTATTTTTCATGCCACACGCAGGCCGATTAATTACAGCTATGCTATCAAGCCCCTTGCTTCCCGAGATCCGACCATGAAAACGATTTATTGAATAATTGTTTTATGATGCGTTTTTATATTGGCAAAGTTTCATTGGAGCAGTATTATATAAGATGTCTTCTCCTACGATGTTTCCTTTTACAAAATGGCCGACTAGGTCTAGGCCAAGCACAGTTCAATTCGTAATTGAATGCAATGACCTCCAAAGGCACAACTTGCTTCACGAATCGTAGCGCGGTCAGCTCCCGTTCAGAATATCGGTAACACATTATAAAAAACCACGAACAAATCTTCGTTCTTAACGCACAGAGAAGCAAACAAGCAATATTTATAGTTAAATCACCAAGATGCACAAAAAAAATCACATAAAAGCACAAGATTACTGGAAAAAACAGCAAAAATACCATAAAAACAAGAGCCAAACACAAAAACGTGGAGTCTCGCAGGTAACAGCGCCCTCTCGAAAACTAAGATATCTCTGTTTAATTAAAACTAAGATATCTCTATTTAAAACTAAGATATCTCTATTTAAAACTAAGATCTCTATTAACAATGAAAATAGAGATATCTTAGTTTTAAACAGAGATATCTTAGTTTTAAATAGAGATATCTTAGTTTTAAATAGAGATATCTTAGTTTTAAATAGAGATATCTTAGTTTTAAATAGAGATATCTTAGTTTTAAATAGAAATATCTTAGTTTTAAATAGAGATATCTCTATTAATAGAGATATCTTCATATTATTAATGTAACTTAGAACTAATACACTGTCGGTCCAATAGTACACACCATCGAACTTTAGCATCCTATTCCCGAGTTTACCAGGTCCACGCATTTAACAGCTAGAGTAGCTGCTGTTAGCTCCAGCTGAGGAATAGTCTGTCGTTTCAGAGGTGTCACCCTTGATCTACTGTACAGTATGTTGCATTGGACGTCGTCTGCCTCTGTTCTAACATAGATGACCACTACATAGCCCTTCTCGCTGGTGTCAGCGAATACGTGCAATTGACGATTATCAGTACAATCGATGCCGAGCCATCTTGGTATTTGGATATTTTCAACCAACTGTAAATTCTTCCACCACTGTTTCCACCATTTCAACAAGTTGTCCGGAACCAAATCGTCCCATCCACTGACACATTTAATGGTCTCTTGCAATATCAACCTAGCTGGCAAGATAACTGGAGCAACCAGGCCCATCGGATCATACAAGGAACTCAAAGTAGCTAGCAAACCCCTCTTGGTTAAGGGTTGCTCTCCAGTAGGTGGCTTAAAACAAAAACAATCATCTTCAGGGCACCAATTAACGCCCAAGGCCCTCTCTGGTGGCAATCCCTCTTCTTTCACATTGAGGTTTTGAAGATCCTTTGATCTACGGTCTTTGGGAATTGCTTCGATAACTTGTTTGTCGTTGCTTGACCATTTTGTCAAGTTAAATTCTCCCTCGGCACACAGGTTTGTCAGGTTCTCCATCAATTGAATGCCTTCACTGGGGCTACTAACACTCTTTAAAAGGTCATCAACGTAGAAATTCTTCTTGATAGCTTCTACGGCTTCTTGATTCTTGTCATTTCTACCATCTTCGGCAGTCTGCATTAAGGCTGAGTTGGCGCACGCAGGCAAAGATGAAGCTCCAAACAAATGCACTCGCATTCGATATTCTTCAGCTTCTGCTTGAAGATTTTCTCCAGGGAACCAAAGATATCTAAGGAAGTCCCTATCTTTCTCAGGAACACACACTTGATAGAACATGGCTTCCAAGTCCGCCATTAAAGCAATTCTATTTTTTCTAAAATGCAACAGCACTCCTAAGAGGTTATTCGTCAGGTTGGGACCTGGTAGAAACACATCGTTTAGTGCAATCCCTTGAAATTTAGCGGCGCAGTCAAAGACTACGCGAAGCTTTGGCTTATGCGGGTGATACACCCCGTGGTGTGGAATGTACCATCTATTCTTGATATCCTCGCTGTCATTGTTCACTCTTTCGGCATAACCTTTCCTTACAAGTGTCTCCATAAACTCGGTGTAATCAGAATGCAACTTGGTATACTTCAATAGTCGTCTCTGAAGTGATTGTAGGCGCCTAACGACCATGGTCCTATTATTAGGCAAAACTACATCATCTGTTCGAAATGGCAATCCTATTGTGTAGTGATTATCTTTACCCTTCTGAATGGTCTGCTCCACCTTCTTGATAAACAACTTATCTTCCAACGAGTCTTGGCGTTTACTATCTAAACCTCTTTCAGGAAAGTCGATTTCTGTTGCAATCCTCACTAGTTTTTCCAGCCTACTCTCCTCCAAAGACTTGTCAATGCTAAGTAGTTCTATTTTATTTACCGGATACACGCCTCCTACACAGTCTCTCATCAGGTTCCACACGACCCAACCTAATTTGGTCTTTGTAGCATGAGGTGCGCCAATCGGTCCGGTTTTAATCTGTAACGGTGTATAGGCACTTGGCACTGCCATTCCTATAAGTAAGCCAATTTCTGAATCAATCTAGGGAATCCTGACACCGTTTAAATGTGGCCATCTATCTATGTCCTTTTGCTTTGGAATGTGCACCTTAGCCACAGGCAAGCTCTGCTTGCTATACACCATGGAAATAGGAATTTCTTCATCACCATCAACAGCTTTTACCATTAAATTTTTAACAGTTTCTGTTTGTAGAGAGTGTCTTGAACCCATAGTTTCAATTGAGATTCTTGCAGGCCGACCTCGGACTCCCAAGCTCTGCAATAAGCCATCTGAACAGAAAGAAATGGTGCTCCCAGGATCAAGAAAGGCGTAAGTGATTATCACCTTTGATCCTCTTTGCGCTCTGACTTGCACTGGGACAATCGCCAAAGCACAATTTCCTTCGCCGTTATCACATGAAGCTGTCACTTCCTCCTTCACGCTTCCGCCAGCAGAAGCACTCATTTCATTCACCACCTCACGATGAAGCGTCGTTGGGTGTCCTTTCTTACACTTGACGCAAGTGTGACACCTGCTACAATTCTTGCTGAGATGTCCTGCACCTAGACAACCACAACACAAGTTATTCTTTCGAATGAACTCCAATTTTGCCTCTCTTGGCAATCCATCAAATCTGCTGCATTTTGTGAGTTTACATATATACAAGATGGCTGCCAAAATCCAAGATGGCTGCCAAAATCTAAGATGGCCTTCAAAAATCGGCTTTTACTAAATTAATTTGTTGCAGACAAATCTGATTGGTGATGCTGTTCTGTTCAAGTTCATGTAGTGGGCCAGCTGATGTCAACAGTACAGGAATCTCCATACTAAAAAATGAAAAAAAAAAATAGACCATTAAATAAATTAGATTAGTAAATAAAATACAAAATAATGTCATTGAAAAATAACAAGCTTAGAAAAATGTTGTATATGTTGTTTTGTAGGATACTGTAGCAAAAATGAAATAAACTTACATTGATGTCATTGATAATAATGTCATTACAATAATGTCATTGAAAAATAACAAGCTTAGAAAAATGTTGTATATGTGGCGATGTCAAGCAAAAACGGTCGGAAGTCGGAAAAACCAATTTTTCTTTAACACCATTAACTGAATAATCACATTATAATAAATAAAACAGTGAAAAATTATTAAATTCTGATACTTAGTTCTAAAGTTATACCGATTTATATAGCGCAAGGTTAGCAGTTACTGTTTTGAAGAAACGGCGATAAAACTGATGTTTATAATGCCCAGTCGCTGGCAGTGCGCTCAGCGTGTAGCTCACTCACATGTGTTCGGTGTGTTCGATACTTTCTTAACAACAGAGGTGTTACCATTGACTGATTGAAATGAAATTTCGTAGAAACATTTTACATAATGTATTTTATAACTGTACCAAGTTTCATGTACTTTATACATTATTAATAAATGTGATATTACGGATTCAAATGTAATGGTCGTTTTTACTGTAAACAACCGGAAATCGAACACTGCGACCTTGAAACCAGTGCGTTAAACTATTATAGAACGTGTTTTATTCATCGTCAACTTTATCAAGTCTGTGTTATACAGTATAGCCCATTTTGCATGTACCTGTACTACCGAACTTTCTTGTGTAAAAGAAACAGTATTATTGTTTTATAATTATTACAGGTGTAAGGAATAAAACAGCAGTAAACAAGTAACTTCGAGCTTCGATGAAAACATGTAACGCGAATACTACCTTGCCGACGCTTCCATCGAAAACCCAAGCGACGCGGTCTTAGACACGC